ATATTTGAGACTGGTAATTATCATTATGTTAAAACCAGGAAGGAAAGAAGGCATTACATTCGCATCAACCTGGGGAAGCAGTAGCCGCATGATCTTCCATGAGCAACAACTGGGCAATCTTTTGTTTGTGTGTGTGCTTGTGTTTCTTTGATAGTGGGCCCCCCCCGGGGGGGCACTCAAGACGATGATCCCTGGATTGTGACCATTGGTGCAGGAAGCTAACTCATCCGCAAAAGGTTGAGATTTAGCACAACCTTTCTTAGTTTCCCTTTGTGAGCAGCGAAGTGAGTTCTTTGTGAGCATTCACCATCAACATAGATGACTGCGTCCATTTCTCTTCTTATTTAATATCTATGAGGGTGAATGGAGATTGTATGATCCTTAGCTATTAGCCGGTTGTCACTAACAGCTATTTAACTAACAAAACTAGCATCCTTCAAACTGCACTTTCTCAAGTACGGCCTAGTTTTCTCTCAACTATTATTTCAATGTTCCCTGTATCAGCTACTGAAAACAGGACTGGAAAAACTGGAAGAGATCAGCTGCAACAAGAACTCGGCTGTTTAGATGCACACATATGCTTACGCTTTTACCATTTCTACTTGAAGTTTGCAATTTCAACAAAAATAATCCTTTTCATCGCACCACAATTGCGTATTAAACAGCTGGTTTTTATAATTATAATGAATCCAGGAAATCACTGAACAAAATTTTATTGGCAACAAATTAGTTCCCAAAGATGAATTTCCAAGATCTTATAGATCAATACATGCATAATGTCCAAATATCCCGTCAATTCTTGTTTCTTTCCCTTCATTTTGACTAACCAACTAACCTTCCCAAAGCCCTAATTTAATCAGTCATCATCATCATATAGTTATAAAGTAAGAGAAGCTAAACTGTTAAAGAATGAAAAATCGTAACAGGAATTGAAATGAACATAGTAATAATATAGGAGGACGTGTGTGTGGGTGTGTGATTTTTATATACCTGATAAAACCCCCCACATACAGCAGAAGACCAACTATCGCAATACTCAATGCATCATTCAGGAATAAGTAATATGAACCCAGAAGGAACAAGGATATAACCTGCCAATCAGCAAACACCGTTTATGAGTCCTAAAATGTAGAGGATTTCTAGCCTTTGAAAGTCTCATGCCTTGATCATTCCATTTCCTTTATTTATGGACAGTAGTCGCAACCAAGCATAAGGAAATAAATCCACAGATAGACAACAGAAAGCTTTGCAATCTCAGGAGATTGTCAATAAATCCACGGAATTTACCATCCCCGAAACTCCTCCAAGCAGTAAAGGTCTCCTTCCAAGACTATCCACAATGACAACAGCAGCAGCAGTCATAATTAACTACACAAACAAATGAAATGGAAACAGAGCTAAGTGCCTTCGTATGGACATTTGATCATAAACAAATGTGGAAGTGGGCAGGAGTGGAAGAGAGAAGAATCGTCCTTTGTCTTTGGTTGACTATAGATAGTAAAAAGAACCAGGTCCAGGTAGACAACCTTCGCTTTACATTTTTTATACAAGCTTTAAGCAAAAAAATATCTAATTCACCAACACAGTTTTACTTTGTTTCTAAAATTCAACAGGAAATTTATAGCTAAGAAGAAGTTTTAAACAAAAAAAAAAAAATCAAAACATTGAAAAAGCAGAGAGAATAAAGGAAAGGAAATGTCAAAAAATTTTGTTCCAGCATTCTTTTCTAGTTCTAGTTTCTGAAGATGAATTTTGCATGTACCCCCGGTCTCCCCACCCCCCCCCCCCCCAAAAAAAAAAAAAAAAAGAGCAAGTCTAAATCCTTTATAACACCTTAAAAGAACTCAATAACAAGTGACATGCATAAAAATTCATAGCTTATACCAACACATCATATATGGCTTAATAATTTAGCATGCTAAAAGAAACTTTATTCACACACTTCATGAGACTGTTAATAAAAGCATAAACATAAAATAGGATTTGAATTAACATGATAAAAGAACAATATGTCTACCTTTAGCAAGGCAAGGAGAATAGAGACTCGGGTAGCATCATGGGCCGCGGAGAATCCTGCACTCTACAAATACAAGGTTGAATTAAATTACAACAGAAGAATACTACTGTGATGACAGTGTAAAAGATAGGTTCTTTATTAATTGTCAGAGAGTTCACTCCAACTAGATTATCTTAATACCTGAAGGATTGATGCAGCATAATAAAGGACACTCGGTTGTCCAGTGATCTGTCATAAATTCCACTTTATAAGGACACCAATTGTAGTCATCTTCAATAATTTGTATTCTGTTTCGTAAGGAATATAATTACCTGCTGAAACAAGAGCAGTCCTGCACCAATCACAACAGCTTTGAAGCATTTTCCTTGAAAAATCTCTCCCATCGTGACTTCTTTCTCTTCACCTACATAATAAAGCTCACCCATAATCTCATCTACTAGCCGAGGAGCTGAGTCACCAATAGCTGGACCCCTAAGACGGTGCAAACAAAGAATTGCAGCCTCTCTTAAATGTTGGCCATTTCCCTTTTCTTGTATAGCACGTAATAGTAGCCATCTAGGAGAATGTGGAAGCCAACACATGCCAATTCCCATTATGACAGCTAATGGAGTACTAGCACCATACATATATCGCCAGCCAGAAACCATGTCAACAAGAATACTACCAAACCCAAAGCCTACCTGCAAAAGATTATAGACAGTTACCAAATGCAATGCAGGCAGATGTTTAGGAGGGGGGAAGTCTTTATGACAACATATCTAGAACAAGAGAAAAGAAGGGATGATGCAAGCCATCATAAAAGGTAATGTCATGGGAAAACATCATTACATATTTATATCAGGAAAAAAAGGGGTTGAAAATCCAAAGGGAAAAGACAACGAACTTACTATCATTCCAAGAACTATAAAGAACTCTTTGAGAGAAACTAATAGCCCTCGTATCTGTGTTGGAGCTGTCTCAGAAATATATATCGGAGCAGAATGCATCGCCTAAAAGAGATGAAAAATTGCATATCCTGCTTAGAATTACATAGACAGCATTAACACATATAAACACTTGTCTTTGAACATTCTTCCACACAAAATTGTATTTTAGAAAAAGAAGTATAATAACAAGTAGGGAGAATCTGTACACTACTCTTATATTTATGGGACAAGCCTATCCTCTGTATAACTTTTCTGAATAGTCAAATCACAATATATGTTTTATATCGAAAAGACTGCTAGAATATATCGATACCAATCAGGGGGAATAAAAAAAAAAAAAAAAAAAAGAAAAAGGGATATTAGCTAGATGAGAATTACTTCCTGATAACAAAGTAGATGGACCCAATTGCTCTTAGCGGAACATATATATGGGGTAGTTAGGGTATACTGTCACTGTTTAAAAAGGAATAGATCATCACAATAGCAAGGCACTATCTTTCTTCTCTGTGCATGACAAGCTTAGCATGCAGTTAGTATGAAGAATAAAAGACCGCATGTATAACCACATTATTTCTATTTCTATTTTACGAAGTAACAAATCAGCTATCAGCTACAAGCTTACCAGTCCAATCCCCATACCATACACAAAGCGTCCAACCACGACGATAGGAAAACCAACAGCTAGTGCAGTTATAAGTGCTCCAGCAAGATAAAGAGATGCCGCCAAAATCAATTCCCTCTTTCTACCTTCACATCCAATTTGTCACTTAAATTTACTAGGAAAGAAAAATTTGGAAAATGTACATAGCATTATTATTAAAATAGTCACATCACCTAAGAAGTCAGCAACATTGAAGGCCAGCACAGAGCCTGCCAAAGCCCCATATAATGATCCACTTGTCTGCAAAAGTTACCATAGCAATTGAAAGCAAAACATGAGTTCCAGTGCCTCATTCTCAGTTGTATAAAATAAAATAATGAGCAAATATATTGAATCACAAGGTAAAGAGAGAATCTAGCCACATCTATGGAAAGAACAAGCTTGGAATCAACTTTTAACTTACGATGAGACCTATTTCAACAAAAGTCAAGTTATACCATGATGTCCCACTTAAAGTTGGCGACTGCAGGAAAATACAAATAATAGTTAATTGAAAAGTGAAAAAAAAAAATTTATTTTTGTATTCATGATAACGCAATGAAGAAGGAAAAAAATTATAAACTGATGTGTGTTTTCATAATCTCTATATTAAGTTATTCTTAAAGATTAGTAAAAAAATAACTGAAAGCATAAAGTAGCATGATTGCCAAGAAACTTCTAACTTAAAACGCTAAATTAACATCTACGAAGAAGAAATACTACTTTAACCCATTCAGTATTGCAGGAATAATACTGATGTTTTCCTACACCTATTGGCCTATATATGAAAAGTGTCTTTTCTAATTATCACTCAAAACTAGAGTAGGCGAAGGCTCCATTAACTTTCTCGGGAAAAAAATAAAAATAAAAATGAAACTTTAATTTACTCTGGTCATTTCCCCTGCTGGCGTAGCATACAACACTGATTATTTTGCATATCTAGATAACAGCAAAGTTCTGCCAAATCAGCATGCTTCCTGCCACCATTTGATGCTTGAATATAAGGACCCTGAGGTATATCTTTCTTTCCTTTTATTTTATTTCTTCTTCTTCTTCTTTTTTTTTTTGGCTTTTTTTTTAAGAGCACTACAGCTAGGGATGATCCTCGTATATCAATAAAAAGCACAGACAATTACAGATGATATTTTACCAAATAAATATTCACAGAAACATTGAAAAATCATCTAGTCATGTTAAAAGACCATACCTGGATAGAAATTGTTGCACACGACGTGGCACCAATATCATAGCCATAAAGTAGCCCTCCAAATGCAGGGAAAAGAAATCTGAAATTTTAAATAAAACTCTTTAAGGAATGCTGGAAAAAGCTTTATGGGATTCTTTTATTTGCATCCATTTAATTCACTTGATTCGAGCATGAAGTCACGGTATGTCAACAGATGTTTCTTCTCTTGCATATCTTATGCCGTAGTTGGTTTTCTTGGCCTCTTTATGATGTTTGGCCAATGGTTATACTCAGGGCACACTATTCTTTAATATGCAGAAAGGTTGGAAAACCTTTTACGTTGATGCTGCCTTTCTTCTTTTGTTATAGTTTGCTTCCTTTTATAGTCCTTTAGAAGATGCTTCGTGAAAAAATCATTTACATTTTTAGGCAGGTAAAACACATGAAACATTGGGTACTAGGTGCATCAAATGAAATAGCTCAGCTGAACATAATGAAACCACAAAGATGTCATTAAATGAAGGGATATAAATGATAATAAATAGCTCGCTGTAGCTGCACACCTTCTCCTCATGCAAACATTTCCACCTTAAGGTAAAAAATTAACTGCAGACTTCAAATGTGGCCACTATTATTCATTACAGATTTGATCATACTTCATCCATAACTGATGTACACAGAATGATAATACCAATGCATGACAATACATACGGAAGGATTGCAGCATGGGCAGAATAGTATTCAGGTCCATGAATCCCGTGAAGAAGAGGCTCCCGAGCACCACCATTATCATGAGATGATGCAATTTCCTAATTAAAAAAGCAACAGGTCCCATAAAATATGAAGAACAGAAGCCACATAAAAGCAACAATGATTTTGATTTTTATTGGCATCAAAACAGCATGTTCCTTAATGTTCCTTTGCTCGTTCGTATTCAGTTTTCTAGTTAGAATATCAAACATGAGATGGTCTTCAAATAGGCTAGTTGTCCGTACTTTAATTTGACTTACTACTACTTGAGTTGGGTGTTTTAAGTTCATAGGTCTTTAATTCCTACATTACTTTCTAAACATCCAGAAAGAGCACAAAATTACTGAATGACACGCTTAAAACGAAGAAGACCAAAACGGAAGCGGGAAGATATGGAGCTCATTTGACGAGAAAAATAAAACTCTCTCTCTCTCTCTCTCAGAGTATGATTCAAGACAAGTTATGAGATTGTTATAAACCCAAATCCAATTTTCGACCACCTAATCCTCCAATCCAGTTGTTCAGAAACCAAACCAATCAACGAACATATTGAACACGAAAGATTCGAAAATAGAGTCGTTGCAGTGAGAGCATAGAAGAGGAGTGAAACCTTGTCGCGAGAGGAGAGACTTTTGCGCGGGATTTCAGACGCCATTGTTGTGGACTACAAAGGCTGAGAAGGACGCCCACCCAAATTGGCTCATCAAGGAGGAGGGAAAATGTCCCGATTATAAGATTATTTACGTAGAAGCCAATGGAGGGCCAACTGGAACAATGATTGATACTGCCTACGTCATATAATCAAGGTGTTATAATTAAGATGGGAGGTTGCATTTAGCCCTCCATTATTATTCTATTTATTTATAGGCCCAAAAAAAAAATATTTGCCATCAGAGGAAAATATTATCATTAGACAAAAGATCTAAAAGAAACAAATACAAGTATTTATTTAGGATCTGAAGTAAAACCTTCAAAATCAAGTATCAGATTGCAAAGTCAATAGAAGTTTCAAATACCCTGTAAAATTTCAGGTTTCATTTGAAATAACTTATAAACAGTTTCAATAGTAATTTATGAAAAATAAGATAAGTATGTGAAAAAAGTTTTGTCTCGATTTATATAAAATATGTTTATAAATATTTTTAATCGTGATTCAAAATAAAACCTTAACGACGCAATCAATTACTAAATTCGCTTCTTCTTCTTCTTTTCAAAAATGAAATAAAAATGTATGCTTTAAAGTATTGCAATTAAAATTTATAAACCCTGTAATTTTGTTAATGTGGTTAACATATCATCTCTCATTTCAAATATAAGACATTTTTACTAAATGCAAACATATAAAAAAAACAGTTAAATAGTGACATAATTTTGATTTTTTTCAAATTTCTCTTTCTTTGATTTTAGGGGAACAAACCATATTAATGAAAAAAATTAATTAACCCGAAAAATCCACAGAATGAATATATATACCAAGAGATTTTTCAAAACAGTCTCTCTTTTTTTTTCCTGAGATTGTAGACCATCCATAAACTCGGATATATTCAGATTAATTTTCTCAAATAAGCCACCTGAGAATGGGATGGGTTGGGGAGTAGATAAAGTTCAACCCAAATATTATTCAATATAAATCGTGTGACATACTGCATGTCATAAAATACAATAAAATTTAATAAAATTATTAATAGTTAAATAATGAGAAATAAATTGAAAAATTAATATATGGACAAAGAGAGAGAAGTTCAAAATTAAGTTTGGTTGTTTAAATTCTATATATGAATTGATCAATTTTCATTTGTGTTTATTAATATAAAATATATGGTAAGCCATACAATTCATAGGTCACGAACAATGTTTAGTCAAGAGAATAAAAATATTTGTCATACAAAAATATTCTTTAGTTTTTGAATTTCAAGAATTTATTTACCAGAATTCTCAGGAAGTTAGAGTCTTGAGAAAAAGTTTTGAAGCCTCTAGAAACCAGAAATAGACACATATAAATATCAACATAAAGAAGTTATTTGCGAAAACAGTATTTTTAAATTTCAAATAAATGTATGTGATAGGCGTTAATTATAAAAATACAAAATAATAGTAAGAATGAATTTGGAACAAAAATTAAAAAAATTAAAAAGAAAAAGAACTTATTAAACAGGGAAAAACGGTAGCCGCAGAATGAATCGTTGGAGTGTGGTTTCAGCCGCATTGTGTGACTCAGGGCCGTAAGCGGGAGGGCACAAGCTGCTTTTCCATGCTAAGTGGATTGGCGGACACATCAGATGTTGATTGAGCACATGGGGTTTGCCGTGGGCCCCCTTCACGTTCAGACAAACACAAAAAAAACAACGGAGGCAAGGAAACTTTTTTGACACGTTTTTTTTTTGTTCAAATATTTCATAATAAATACTTATTTCGACGTTTAATACTACCTCCGATTCTTAATATAGGATCTTATTTGATTTTTATTTGATAATAAATATAAGACTTTAATCCACTTTGTCTCTAATATTTATGTATTTTTTCCAAAATAATCCTTCAAATAGTAGTATGTATAACCAATACATTTGATTAGCAAGGATATTTTAGTAAAGACCATTATTTATGACAAATAATTAATTTAAATTTTTCCTTAATCTCTTCAAATTAGTCAATTAGCTCTTATAATTAGGACCAGAAGTAATATAAGAATTAGTTTGACATTAATTTCATCTTAAATATAAGTTATCAATTTATTTTATCTCTCATATTTATCTATTCTTTTCCAAATAGTTCTTAAAGTAGTTGTACATATTAAAGGCTTTATCAAATAATAGTTTTAATTAATATACATAATTAGTAAGGATATTTTAAGAAAGATAACACATATTTATTACAAATACTAATAACTAATTTAACAAATTTCTTAATTTACTCAAATAAGTGAATTAGTTTTATATTAAAAATTAGAAGTAGTATATAATATACCTCATATCCTAGAGCCTCACACTTTTAAGTAAAAGATTTATTTAGATTCAAGACTAATAGGTAATATAAGAACGCACCGTGGACTTCTCGAAAGGTTTTAATACTAGCCATGAGACTTTCTCCATACACACCATTATGGATCAAACCTATTGACTAGATGTTTGGGAAGCCTAGCTACATGCCAACAGTGCTAAGCCTCATGGTTAGGTCCCAGGATTTTTATAAGATTCCGTTTAAGATTGTTCAAACATAAATGCAATTTTATTAATTTTACCCCTAACTAATTGCATTCTCTTTTCTTGGGAAAAATTTAATCAAATTTCTTATATTTATTATGTTAAATTCTCCAATCACACATTATCGAGTGTCCTTTTTGTTTCATATAGATTTATAATTAAATACTATTATATGTTAATATTTTAAAAATAGAACATATAATTATGTGTGATTGAAAAACTTGACATAATGAATATAATTGACTTGACGTAAATATCGTCATTTTTTATCATGTATTCTCTTTCATGTTATTTTTTTTTCACTTGTCTCTTATTTATAAGGGTATATTTTAAAGAAAACAAGTACATTCTTTAAGTTCTTATTACTTCTAACTAATATTAACTTTAAATCATGTAATTTGATTATTTAAATTTTATAAAAACAAATGCAGGTAATGCCACCAAATATTTTTTACACTGCTGGGACTCTAGACCTTTGACCACGCTTGTACAATCCAGCCATTTTTCTCACCTCAATACATTCTTGCCATTTAAATCATAGCTCTATCAAAGACACATCAAGAAAATAGCAGTAGCTACTATTTAAGCACAGGTCTCAAATTTGAGCATGTGTAAAAATAAAAAACACCTGAAAAAGAATTATTTTTAATTAGACCTGATAATACTTAAATCTGACTCTGTCAAATAGCCATATAAAAAACATAACAATCTACGAGACAATAAAAATTGGAATAAAATTATATATTCATATATAAATTTAACGAGATGATATATATTAAAATAAAAAATTCTATCTATCTTATACATAAGATCAGTGAAGAGAATCACACACACATATGTATAAGGTTAGCAGCAAATACACACACGTATATATATATGGTACAATATTCAAAAAGGGTTACCTGATTACATGAGCCAATCCAAACTTTAAAAATATCAAATCTGTGAAATGTTACCAACTCACGCCAATCTTTATTTTTCTCCGTCTCCCTAGCATTAGGGATGATCTAAATCCTATATGAACTTTTCACCCCAAAAAAAAATCCTATATGAACTTTATTGATTTTTTTTTACAAGAGTTATTTCCAAAACACCTATAAAATCTTTTACTTTGAAACATTAAAGGACTCAAATTCATACAACCAAAGATAAATATTATTTGGGCAATTCATAAGAAGAGTAAATAGATGCTACAGCAGAACAAATGAATGCTATGAGAAGTAAGCTAGCAGATGCATTTGCTTTAGCAAAGAAGTCATTGAGGTTTAAATTCAGTGTGTCATCAAATATTCTGTGCACATCCTGAGATGCCCCAAATCCTGCTGCTGCACCTGTCGCTAACAGATATGATATTATCTGTCCAAATTAAAACAAATTATCAGTAAATTAAGAATATTTCTTATACTCGTAAATCTATATTTTTATTTATTATATTATGAATTAATATAACAGTAATATCCGTTGATATTAAAAAAAGAAAAAGAAAAAAGAAGGAAATCCTCTTACAACTGCTTAGAATGAATCAAGTCATGTGATGTGGTTTCTGTTTATTGACATTTTGACCTCAATTCCATACGAAGAAGTCGTCCAAATTGAGATGAATTGGTCCTTCACAATCACTAATCCTATGCTTGGACTTTGGATGGGAAAAAAAATTAGAGGGGAAAGAATACTATAAGAAAAGATTTTTTAAACCATTTTTGGAATTTTTTTGGGGAAAATAACAAAAGGAACCTTAAACATAGAAAATTTCAAAAAGAGCAATTAACACTTCAAAATGACAAAAAAAGGAAAAAGCCTGAATTGGAATTATGAAAATGTAGGAAAATAACCAATATGTCCTTATATGACCAAGATGTTGCTTTAAGTTATATTGTTGTTGTTTTCAGTTTTCAATTTACAAGTTATATCCTAATGACAGGTTTTGTTTACCAACTTAGAACTTGTCATTTTCAGTTTTAATGTTGTTAATTCGAATTCAATTGTTGTTATTTTCTCTTCACTACATGATTTTTCTAATTCACACAAGGACATATTAGTTATTTCCCCACATTTTCATAATTATAATTCAGGCTTCCCTTCTTTTTATTTTTGTTATTTTGAAGTGTTAACTGCCTCTTTTTGGAATTTTCTATATTCAAACTTCTTTCTTAACCAATTTTCCCTTGTATTCTCTCCTCCAATTTTCCTCCCATGACCTAAAGAAAAACACCTTTAAAAAAAAAAAAAAGCTAGAAGAACCTCCCTTTCTTTCATAAATTTGGATCCTTTCAATTGATTTCTTTCAATGGAGGATTATTAACTACTACCTCTTATTCTAATTATGAGACCCCGTTTGTAAACTAAATGATATCTTATACTCCTCCGGTCCTTAATATAGGATCCAATTCTTGAGTTGGTTTGGTCCTAAATATAAGACTCATTTCTCATATTTTTAATTTTCTCTAAATTACCCCTATGGATACTCCCCCAACCATAATCAAGTAGAAGAGGGAGAGGGGGTATTAAAAAAGATGATTATGGTGTTTTAGAAAAATGTGTCACTTTTCTTATAATTAACTAATTACCTAACTTCCTTAATCTAATCAAATTAGTTAAATGGGTCTTATATTAACGACCGGAGGAGTATTATCTTTTATCCTAAATATAAGAAGAGCTAGTTGACTAATTTGAATATATTAAGGAAATAAGTTAAGTTAGTTATTTGTAATAGATAAATGTTGTCTTTCCTAAAATATCCTTGCTAATTAAGTTTGTTGGTTAGAACTATTATTATTAGAAGGACTATTTCGAGAAAAAATAAATAAATATGAAAACAAAGTAGATTGAGGTCTTATATTTAGAACCAAAATAAAAATCAAACGAGGTCTTATATTAATGACCGGAAGTAGTAATTAGGACCAGATGCAGTATTATTTTTTGTCTTAAATATAAAATTCACTTCATAGTATAATTTTTACTGTAAAGTGGATCTTATATTTATAATTGGAGGTTATACTAGATTGTGATTGAACCGGGGAGACGTGTGAGTCACTATTAAAGACTTCTGCTTGTTTTTCTAAAATAAATTTGTAACACACCTCATGTGTTATAATTAGCTCTTCTATTTAGAACTGTTGAACGGGAGGCAGTATTTAATAACTTTCAATTAATAATATACTATAGTTAATAAATGAATACCTTGTCAGCGTAGAAATTAAAAATGTAGGCAATATCGCCCTTGAACAGGGCGTCTGATCCTGAGACGAGGCCGAAGATGGAAAATGAGGTTTGGACGAGGCTATACGCCAACCCAATCACTATTATCGCCAGCATGTATCTGCATTTTTTATAATTTGCCAATATTTGATATCTGATTAATACATACTCATATATTTTTTTCATTCGCTAATTCAACAACGACAGATGTTCTTATTTTCAATTTTGACCACATTTTTCAGAAATTCTTTAATAGTGTGGTCCCCTTATTGATTAAGTGTGTTCACATCAATTAAAACTATATACTACTTCTAGTCCTAAATATAAAAGCTAGTTGACTAATTTGAATATATTAAGAAAACAAGTTAAGTTAATTATTTATAATACATATGTCTTGTTTTTCCTAAAATATCTTTGTAAATCAAGTTTGTTGGCTAGAACTACTATTATTAGAAGGACTATCTTGAAAAAAAATGGATAAATATGATAGATAAAATGGATTAGGGTCTTATATTTAGGATCAAAATAAAAGTCAAACGATGTCTTATATTAAGGACCGGAGGTAATAAATAACTAAAGACCACTGAAACAATTCCTTCCAAAAAAAATTATTTCTTGAATGGAATTTTTTTATTAGAAAGTATCTTGTCATTGGCTGTTCAATGAAAAACATTAGGCTTGTTCTTCTGCCCTAGCAACAGAAACAAAAATTGTTTCATGTTCACGTACATTAAAAAGAAATTAACCTTGCTTTGTTTTCTTACAAAGTCCATTAAAAGGACTACTAGTACAAAAACATTAAACTTGTTCTAAATGATTCTTTTAGAGTGATCCAATCACCAATATAATTGAACAAATAAAATTACTAAATTATAAATATGATAGGCTATTATTTTTTTAAAAAAATTGAAAACAATAACTTGGGAGAAAGATATTAAAATCTGACCAATCAATCAAATCCAAAACTCTTAACAGAACTAGTTATGAAGCGGGCAACCCAAGCTGAATTTCAGTATCATGTCAGCTATACAAACATGTAGATTAATGGGTAAAATAACATACGGCACCTTGATTTTATTTTTCATGTGTATCTAGCACCATGATCTTGTTTATGGTACATTTAGCACTCTCATGTTATTTTTTTGATGCTATATCACCCGAATCTTTATGATACTAGATGTAATATAAGTAAGATTATAGTGTTGGATGTATCAAAAAATAACATTAGGATGTTGGATGTACCATAAATAAGAGTATGGTGCTATATGCACCTAAAAAATGAGGCTGGGGTGCTGAATGCTATTTTATCCGGAAAAAATTTAAAGATACAGGTAATTCTCAAATTAATTAAAGTCAGTAATATCAGATATATAATTGATAATAATATTGGAAATTGATGCTCTTACCTGAAAGAGTGAAAATCGGTGAACTTGAATTTAACTGCAGCTACAGTTTGAGTTGTTACAGCGATGAGGATGAGTGCTATCAATAAGAACACTGAGGTTAGAACCCTAAGAAGGAGAAGACAGCTTCTTCTCACTGTCGAATTCGATGGAAAGCTTTCCATTTCCAATCTCAATAAGCTAAGAGTCAACTATTCCTCCTCTTCTTTTTCTTCTCAGCTGATCTTGTGCCTGTTCGCAAGAGCAACTTCTCCCTCTTTTTGCATTGCAAAAGTCTTAATTATAGTTAAGGTCTTCGTTTACTTGAATATTTAATACTAGTATATCAGGCAAGGGTTGGTGGGCGGACGTATAAATTAATATTCATGATAAATATAATAAGAATGGTTTGCTTTAATATGCTGGTATACGTTAACGTTGTTGATTTGCTTGCTTGTAACTTCTTCTAAAAGGCTTTGTTTAATTTTTTAAGAGAAAAGCTTGGTAGGTTTAAACTTCTGTTTATGTTTGAATGCCTACTGGAAGAAGTGTTCACATTTAATATCAGATAGTACCTCGAATAAAATTATCTCTAATAGGAGGATACCTATGCTTTAACTGAAAAAAATTTGACCTCGTATCAAGGTACAAGAATCAAATGGTTATTGAAACCGATGGGGTTACTGATTTAAGGTTAACGGTTTTGCATATCATGATTAAAATAATATAATTTAATTAAAAATAAAAATAATCATATATAATTATAAAAGAATTATTTTAATAGAAAAATAAGGGATTAATCATCAAGTGAACGAAACATTTATTCATAAATAGATATAGGTGCATCTAGCACCTCATCTTTTTTCTCAAATGCATCTAGCATTTGATCTTTTTTATGATATATCTAGTATTCTAATTTAATTTTATTTTTCGTACATCCATTATCTTGATATTATTTTTTTAGTTACATGTAACACCCTAATCTTTAGTGTGCTAATGCACTGAAAATAAGATTAGGATGCTGAATAAATAAAAAGATAAGATCAGGGTACCGAATACACTATAAAAAAGACGAGAGTACTGGATGCACCTGAAAAATAAGATCATGATGCTAGATGCACTTTTACTCTTCATAAATCATAGGTCTTCATATTTTATGCAATATTAATCGAAACAATAATTTCAGCGTTCAAGATTATTCGAAATATTTATATTTAATTGGAGGCATTTAAATCAGCTTATTCTAAGTAATTTTCTAACATACTGTCTTGGATTCTTAATATAAAAACTAGTTGACTTATTTGAATATATTAAAAGAATTAGTTAAGTCAGTTATTTATAATAAATAGGTGTTATCTTCTTTAAAATATCTTTGCTAATTATGTGTATTAGCTAGAATTACAATTTTATAAAACTTTTAACATATGCAGCTACTGTAAGAACCACATTAAAAAAAAGAGTAAATATGAGAGGCAAAGTAAATTAATATCTTATATTTAAAATTAAATGGAATGTCAAATTGGTTTTTAGATTAAGAACTAATAATAGGAGAAGATAAATATGTACAAAAAAAAAAAAAGATTTGTCCGGCAAATAAAACGTGAAAGTCCTTTTTACCTAGAATGGCTAAACTCACTTTTTGAGCTTATGGTTATAGGACTTGCAGAGTCAAAAATTTTCATTTAATTTTTTATGGTTAATATCGTTATTAGTTATTATAGTTTAATAAATTTTTAATTTTGATTTTTGTAATGGCTTTTACACTTTTAATGATTTTTGTTTTTAATATCTGTACTTAGACCAAAGCCGTATGAAATGAAATGATGAGGAGAAAATCAACAATTTGAAAATATAAAAAATAAAAAATAAAATAAAAATTAGATTTTTGGATAAAAAACAAAGATTAGATTAAGGAAGAATTACCAAGAAGTTTTAAGCAAGAAATTTAATTATTAAACAAGTCTTAATAACAAGTGACCAACCTCAGTCATTTCCTACTCTAAATCTTGTCATTATTTACTCTTCACTTGTGGATGTGTTTCTTGGACCAGGTTGTAATAATAAGAATGGTTTGCTTTGAATATATTGGCATATGTTGTTTTTCACCCCTAAAGCATAGACATTTTCCTATTAGAAGCAATCTTATTTGAGTTTCTGTTAGGTACTAAATGTAGGCACCACATTTTAAAGGACTAGTCCGTTCTACAAAACTCAACTCTTATTGGTTATTGGCATGTGTTATTTTTTTTCCTTTTTGGTACATAAAATTTTAGGTAGGGGTTCGGGCTCAACTCAAGCCAAGGACATGGCGTTGGAATAACTCTTCCTCAGTGATACCAATGTTAGGTAATACGAACATATATTATACTCTCAAGTGTTAATCTAGGCACTTTTATTTTAAGATGCCTCTCTAGGCGTTGTGATGGGAAATCAAACCCTTTTTTTTAGGACGAGAGAGTGTAGTTTCCAGTGTTGAACACGCAGATGGCATGCGTTTTTTTTTTTTTTTTTTGGTTTCTCACCCAATTCACCAGAGTTTTGCCCTGACTATGTTCAGATCTGACCCGCATCACACATCTAGGTATGGTGGGTGAGTCTCCCAGCAGGGATTTTCTGCATCTATGAAGAATCGAACTCGAGATTTCACTTAAACAAAACCAAACTACTTACCACTCGGACTAATCCCGTTAGTGATGGCATGCGTTGTTGATATACTTGCTTGTAACTTCTTCTCAAAGGCTTAGTTTAGGATTTTTGGTGAGAAACGAAGGCCCAAGCCCATTAACAGGAAGAAGACCTATCCAGGATCGTCTATTCATCATTTCATCTCCCGCTCCTGAATCTTGTCCAGATCGGACTTCTCTTCACCCCAAATCTGCACCTCACCTCACCTCACCATCAATTTCAAAACTTGATCTTGCCAATTTTACCCAAAAAAAAAACAAACTTAATCTTGCCAAGGCATATGCACAAGAGTTTGCCGATTTCCCCACTCATCCCACTCTGACCTCCCATCTTCTATTAACCTTAATTTTTCTATTGAGTCTGCACACTGGCGCATTTCAAATTGCCCCACCAATTTGTCACTAAATTGCGAAAATCAGTCCCAAAAAAGAAGCTCTAACTCACCTCTTTGTCTGAGACTCTCAGTGTCGCACTCTTCCAGGCTTCCTCACCTTTACACGGCCGTCGTTGCCTCGCTCCTGCTGTGCTGCGACGACGCCACCGGCCTCCGGCTAGCTGACGCTTAAGACCCTTCCACGCAATCCCACCGTGATTGAACTGAAGACACTCTCCCCGATCTTCAATTTTGTCCAGGTGATAGTTGCTTTGCTTGGACTCATGCTATGTCCCTGTTAAATCTTTGTTGCTTGATACTAGTTTATGAGTTCACCAAAAGTTCAGTGATTTTATTATCCTTGCTCTAAACTTGAACTTGGCAGTAGTCTGATGCTGTGTTATTCTCAAGTATAAGACCATATGACGGGGAGCTTCAGATACTCTATTTTAGTTTCTGACGGAATGCGTATCATTTTTCGGTCAAATTATTTTTTCCTTCCCAACCCTCATATGTCATTTGCCTAACATGTCCTTTTCACTGAATGGTTTATATTGACAGCACTTTTAAATAACCAAATATTGTTTATCTTAGTTTGTACATTGCTTTTGCGTATGGTTGATGCTTTTGAGTACAAGATTATATGCATGTTAGATTGAGTTACTCAGTATCACCGAAATTTCCTCATAGAAAACTAAAGAGCTGATGTAACTCATAGTAATGGTATTTAGTTTTGTGTGTTTTATGCTTTCTATTTTTTATCCTTTATTTTAGTCATTTCAAAAATTGGATTTTGAAGTTTAGGTATTTATCCTGTACGTTGAAGCGAGAAAGCACAAAGCTACATATATTCACTTTGAGTATGATTACTTTTTATCATAGGACCAAATTGAAACGATATGCTGTTGAAGAAGGTTATAATTTCATTTTGAATTTTCATTTATCTTCCTTTACAATTTATTAATGGTTGTATTCATTTGTTTATTTCAACAATGTCCTCCATAGCTGGGGGGAGCTTATTAGCTTGCTCTTTTTGGTTGAAACACTTGAAGGGAGAATTTGTTTAGATTCCATAAATGGATTTGTCAAAATAAAATGTAGATTTCTCCTTTACTCCATAAGCTGTCCTATATATCTGTATTTAAAAATTTTATATCTAGTGATTTTGTATTTTAATATTGCTATGACAAGTTGAGATGTTTGCATTTTATTCACTGGATGTATGTAAAACTATTGTATTTAATACGCTGTTTTGTAGCATATGTCCAAAATCTATATATTTAAATATATAAAGCTGGATATATTTGTTTTAGGCATGAATTGTGATTCTAGAGCTTTCATAATGGAATAGATTTTGGAGCAAGTCTCTCTGGTATGGCCGGTTACAAATTACTTATGAACTTGAAACTCCTAAATGGCGTTGGGGCAGGATCTTCATCTATGTTGCTAACGTCATTTAAGAATTGAGATTGAGAAAAGTAACTTTGGGTTCCAGGTACGGCAGAAGCAATTTGAACATTGAGTTCAGATAGTACGAGAAGGTCACCTCAGCCCTCTGGCAACGATTTTGGGAATGAACAAAAAATTTGGAGGTGGGAGGAAGCCAACAGGGACTCCATCTATGGCTTGGTCCTCTGTTGTCGTTGTCTTCTCTCTTCTTGCTGGCGCCTCTGTTGTCCATAATATCTATAAGCCTAATCTTGTAAGCTCTCTCGAACATGCCCTTTCTGACCACCTGTTATTGCCTTGCTGATTCCAAGTTATGAATTTAAGATGCCACAGAATTTGTTACTTTGCTTTGTGTAAACTAGAATTTTGAAAGCCCATGACAAAGTATGATGTGTGTCGTGGGTTTATGTTTGACTGAAATGTGGATCATTCAAAATATTTTTTTCCTTCTTCTGCTCTTAATCCTCCTCTATTTTTAATTAATTTAAGGGAAGATAATATTGGCCTCCCTGATTTAAGGCTTGAATACACAAATGATTGTCAAAAGTTAACAAAACATCTCTATTAGTTTTAGGATAACTGAGAAGCCCCTTCCTTGCAAACAGTTCTTGTGAACTAGCATCTGGTTCGGACTTAAAAAGTAGATATAAGAGGCTGCATGAAGATCATGTCATGTAT